AATCAGTCAGGCCCATCTAACACCTCCCAACAAAGGATTCCTCCGAGCAGGAAGGAGCCAGACTTTGAAGCTGCAAGGCCATTCAATGCTAATCAAGCTGGCCAATTGCAACATTCACACTGGCCTCCAACAGGCAAGAGTTCTTTCTCCCACCCTGGACGTTATTCCACAGGGATATAAACCCCACTTGCCTAGTTTCCAACAAACCTCTGAGGATGCCTGCCCTATACTTCTCTGTATGCAGCCGCATGTGTCATAGAAAATGGCTAAGCGTGTCAGTGCTGACACGCGTGTCATAGGTTCGCCATCAGGGCACTAATGTGTTGTGACACACAGTTTGGAAAACTGCTTTAGAGCCTAGTGACAGGACAGTTTGATATTGAACAACCTCCAAAGTTGGCAGTTTTTGGGACATCTTCGTCTACACAAGCTTGAGGGGGTGCGGTGATATTTAACGCAAGCAAAACAGAATCTGTCATCTTTGGTTATTCACATTCATGGGTGCAGGAGGAGATCCCAGAGTGATTGTTAAAGCCCTTGAAAATGCGTGTGTGTTTTTTCACCTTATTCGTTTCTGTAAATAGCTTTACTTTGTGAGGAAAATAGCATGTTGCATTTTCCACCTCCAGCACCAAAATGTCTTAGGAATGAACCGCATTCTAGCTGGAAGCCTGTTAGGCACATGGAAAAAGGCCCAGGAACCAAGCTGTGGGGTTAGGTTTGGGTTGTATGAATCAGGACTAGCCTGAGATATGTTGATGGTTGAGGGAAAGGACAAAACATTGCTTCTTCACTTCACTACACTTCGCTTTATTTCTTAATTAGTCGCTCTCCATCAAGGTGCTACGAACGACTTACAATCTAAAATAGCATTTACACAATATAAAAACATTCAACATAAAAACATTCAACAGTGACTATTTGGCAAATTAGATCTGATTACTTAAATGCACAACCAAACAGCCAAGTCTTGAGTGCCTTTACAAAAGGTCGCAACTCCGACATTGCTCTAATGTATGGAGGCAATGAATTCCACAGAATTGGAGCATAGGTCGAAAAAGCTCTACGCCTTGTAGCTTCCAGGTGTACCTCCCTAGGGCCCGGTATGTATAGGAGATTTTCCTGGGTGGATCGAGGTGACCACGGATGGAGAAAAGGAATGAGGCGGTCCCTAAGATATAAAGGTCCTTGGCCATTTTGAGCTCTAAATGTCAGGATCAGCATCTTGTAAGAGATCCGATGTTCTATTGGTAGCCAGTGCAGTTGTTGCAGAATCAGTGTAATATGGCATCTTATAGATGATCCCGCTAGCAGCCTGGCTGCCGCATTTTGGACCATCCGAATCTTCTGGGTCATTGACTTCGGAAGGCCGGCATATAAGGCGTTGCAATAGTCCAACCTTGTGGTGACTGTTGCGTGGATTACTGTTGCCAGTGCTTCTACCGAAAGGTAGGATGCCAATTTCCTTGCCTGTCGAAGATGAAAAAAGGCCTGCTTACTTATGGCAGTGATCTGGGCCTCCATCGTCAGCGATGAGTCCAACACAACCCCAAGGCTTTTAACAGTGGCAGACGGAACCAGAGCTTCCCCATCGAAATCAGGCAGAGACTGGATTAATTCTGGCGGCTGGCCGGGCCAGAGTATCTCAGTTTTTGCAGGATTCACTTTTAGTCTGCTCACTCGCAGCCAATTCATCACTGCTTCCAAACACAGCCTAAAATTCTCAGGAATCGCGGTTGTCGCAGGTTCGAGACACAAGAGTAGCTGGGTATCATCTGCATACTGGTAGCACTCTATACCAAAGCTCCGCACCAGTCCAGCAAGTGGCCGGATGTAGATGTTAAATAACAGGGGCAAGAGGATAGCATTGCTCCCTGTCCAGTTCATGTCCAGTTCATGTAGAGCAGTGTTTCTCAGCCTTGCTAATGCTGCGACCCCTTAATACAGTTCCTCATGTTGTGGTGACCCCCAACCATAAAATTATTTTCATTTCCACTTCATAACTGTAATTTTGCTACTGTTAGGAATCGTAATGTAAATATCAAATATGCAGGATGTATTCACCGGACCAAATTTGGCACAAATATCTGATATGCCCAAGTTTGAATACTCGTGGGGTTTGGAGGGGGGTTGATTTTGTCATTTGGGAGTTGTAGTTGCTGGGATTTATAGTTGACCTACAATCAAAGAACATTCGGAACTTCAATGCATGGGATCAGAAATATACTTGATTTTTGGGGTATTTGCAACAAGAATGATTGACAACTGGAAAATAGAGGGAGAAAATGTGGAGGCCGTGACAGACCTTGTGTTTCTAGGTGCAAAGATGACTGCAGATGCAGACTGTGGCCAGGAAATCAGAAGACGCTTACTTCTTGGGAGGAGAGCAATGTCCAGTCTCGATAAAATAGTAAAGAGTAGAGACATCACACTGGCAACAAAGATCGCATAGTTAAAGCAATGGTATTCTCCACAGTCACCTCTGGATGTGAGAGCTGGACCATAGGGAAGGCTGAGCGAACGAAGATAGATGTTTTTGAACTGTGGTGTTGGAGGAAAGTTCTGAGTGCCTTGGACTGCAAGAAGATCCAACCAGTCCATCCTCCAGGAAATAAAGCCCGACTGCTCATTGGAGGGAAGGATACTAGAGACAAAGTTGAAGTACTTTGGCCACATCATGAGGAACAGCAAAGCCTAGAGAAGACAATGATGCTGGGGAAAGTGGAAGGAAAAAGGAAGAAGGGCCGACCAAGGACAAGATGGATGGATGGTATCATTGAAATGACTGGATTGACCTTGAAGGAGCTGGGGGTGGTGACGACCAACAGGGAGCTCTGGCGTGGAATGGTCCATAAAGTCACAAAGAGTTGTAGTTGCTGGGATTTATAGCTCACCTACAATCAAAGAGCATTCTGAACCCCACCAATGATGGAATTGAACCAAACTTGGCACACAAGACTCCCATGACCAACAGAAAATACTTGAAGGGTTTAGTGGGCATTGGCCTTGAGTTTTGGAGTTGTAGTTCACCTACATCCAGAGAACACTCAAACAATGATGGATCCATCAAACAGTGATGGACCTGGACCAAACTTGGCAAGGATACTCAATCTGCCCAAATGGGAACACTGGTGGAGTAAACAGTAAGCATAAAATGGACTATCGTGAACATGGGATTTACCTACAACTTGAAGTCTGTTCAAGGACATGTCACCATCATCATCCTCTTATTTAACATTCATGTAGTATATGGTACTTCTAGAGAAGGTGGTTCTCAACGTTCCTGATGCCGCGACCCCTTAATGCAGTTCCTCATGTTATGGTGACCCACAACCATAACATTATTTTCCTTGCTACTTCATAACTCTAAGTTTGCTACTGTTATGAAAAATGGAGTTAGCATCCATTTTGTCTGTGGCTGGTGGGTCAGGACTCTCCCAGGCCCTGAAATTTCAGGGCAACTCTGATACTTAGGGATGATCTCTTGTGATGTTTGGTCCAGGCCTTGAGATTTGGGGACCTTCCTCTAGTAAGATCTGAAGCTCCCCATCTGGATTCAGTGAGTGGGGCAAGGCTTACTTAGAGCTTGTGTACTTGGTGACCACCTTGGTGCCCTCAAAGATGGCATGCTTGGCCAGCTCCCCCGGCAGCAAGAGCCACACCGCCATCTGGATCTCGCGAGAGGTGATGGTGGAGCACTTGTTGTAATGTTTCCTGCTTTTGAGAAATGTCTTTAGAAAATGCCCTCAAAACTGCCAGTCTAACAATCTTGAATTAGTCTTATGGGCAAATGATTTGGGGACCCACCTTTGGTGAAAGAGCTGGTCCTGCCTTCTTGTTACTGGAAGAGAGAGGCTGTTCTTCTGGTCCTCAACCGATGTATCATGATCCATTCCACGAAACAGAGCAACTGTGCTACCATTAAGCAAATTCATGATAAAAAATATTAAGAAACTAGCTGTCCCCTGCCACGCGTTGCTGTGGCCCAGTCTGTTGATCTGGAAAATAAAGTAACGAAAAAGTGTTGGTTTTTAATATATGTAATGTCTTTCTGCTTGTGGGTAAACAGTATTTCTTGCTGTTTCTTTGTCAGTGTTGACGTGGAGAGTGTTTGGTTTGCCCAACCTGGAACATGCAACATATCATTGTCCTTCTTTAGGGGTCCCTTTTAAGTCTATGATACTATATCTGTGTGTGAATCATATCTATATCTATCTATCTATCTATGGCTGGATGGCTCTTTGTCAGGAGAACTTTGATTACGTTTTCTTGCCCTGATGAAGGGAGTTGGATTGGATGACCTTAAGAATTTTCTGTTGGTCATGGGGATTCTGTGTGGGAAGCTTGCCCCGATTCTGTCGTTCGTGGGTTTCAGAATGCTTTTTTTATTTTAAGTGAACTGTGAATCCCAGCAACTACAACTCCCAAATGTCAAGGTCTATTTCCCCCAAACTCTATCTGTGTTCATATTTGGGCATATTGAGTGCTTATGCCAAGTTTGGGCCAGATCCATCCTTGTTTGAGTCCACAGTGCTCTCTGGATGTAGGTGAACTACAACTCCCAAATTCAAGGTCAATGCCCACCAAACCCTTCTAGTGTTTTCTTTTGGTCAGGGGAGTTCTGTGTGCCAAGTTTGGTTCAATTCCATCGTTGATGGAGTTCAGAATGCTCTTTGATAGTAGGTGGACTATAAATCCAACAACTACAACTCCCAAATGACAAAATCATAATTTTTTGAGAAGATGGTCACTCCTTATGTTTTGAGACTTTTGTTGCCAAATTTGGTGTGATTTCGTTCATTGGTTCTTTTGTTTTTAAGGTACTAATTATGCACAGAGCATTTTTATATATATAGAAGATGTGTGTCTTCAAATACATGTTTGTGCAAACAATGTGTAGAGAATTGAGCCTTTGCCACCAGAAAGATGGGTTTTGGAATACTTGTGGTAGAAGACAGCTGTTCTAAACTTTGGAACGTAAAGAAAAGGGGACATCTCTGTTGACCCATCTGCACTTTCCTCCCAGCCAGCTCCCTGTTGCCCCATCAGGAGGAAGGCCTCTCCCATCAAGAAGATAGTGGGCTTTTGGCACGGTTGTCCAACACTGACGTTGGGGGAGTCTTCCGGCAGGCGGGGAGCCGGGTGCGAATGAAAATCCGAAATCGCAAAGACACAGGTGAGTGATTGTGGGGAAGGGGACTTTGGTAGAAGGGCAGAGGCAAAAAAGTTGTGAGTGGAAAGGAGTCTGCGGGAGGTGGTACTGGAGGGGGTGGGTGTGAAAAAAGGAGAGAGAGAGAGAGAGAAGGAAAGAAGGAAGGAAAGAGAAGGAGGGCAGGGGGTTGGACTGCATGGCCCATGAGGTCTCTTCCAACTCTATGATTCTATGAAGGGTAGCAGATAGGATCTCCTCCTCAGGCTGACTCTCTCTATTTGCTTCCAGGAATTTCCAGCGATATGAACACAGCTGATATTGACGTGGGTGAATGTCCCCGGAGCCCCACCTACCGCCTCCCTCAGCCCCAGGTATTGAAAGAATGGACAGTTATGGGAATCTTGGATGTGAAAGAGATATGTTGGATGCCAAGTATAGTTAGAATTTTTATATACCGGTCTTCTCAACCTCCGCAGAGGGACTCAGGCCGGTTCACAACAAAAGATTCATAAACAATAGTTTAAAATATCACCTCACATAATGCACTAATACATAAAATACATTAAAATACAATCATATAATTACATAAGGCATAAGTCATCAGAATGAAATCACAATTCATCACCATCTGTCCGTGTGGTCAAGAGTTATTGACTCACTCATCGAATGCTAAATTCCAGAGCCAAGTTTTCACCAGCTTTCTAAAAGTCAGGAGAGAAGGGGCAGTTCTAATCTCCAGTGGGAGAGAGTTCCAGAGCCGAGGGGCCACCACCGAGAAGGCCCTGTCCCTCGTCCCCACCAGACGCAATTGCGAGGGTGGTGGGACCGAGAGCAGGGCCCCTCCAGAAGATCTTAATAACCTTGATGGTTCATAGGGGAGAATCCGTTCGGACAGGTAAATTGGGCCGGAGTCGTTTAGGGCTTATAGTAACATAGAAACAAGAATGTATGTATGTGTATTTTATAAGACTCTCAAGAAAATATAAATCAGGATTATATATTCTCTAATGGAGTAAATTGTCTAGACTTTATAGCATTTAACAGTAATGTTATCAGCACATTATAAGTAAATGTAGGTTATCTTATCAACATAGAGTAATGAATAGTAGACTAGAGATAATAAAGTCCATCCTTCCCTGGAGTCAGATTTCAGTGCAGGAATTCAACAGTCTCTGTCTTTATCCTCAAAAGAATTCTTCTTTTAGCAACACAGTCTTTAAGGAGTACTTCTTATGCAGCAGAGTCTTCCTTAGGTAACACAATTTCACAATTTCTACAAGGTCTCCCGGTATGTTCTCCTTGTTTCGAAAAATTATCTTGGGAAACCTCACCCGGCCTGGACACGGAAAGGATTGACAGATCGATAGCTCTTTCTCGATTCTGTGGGTGGTGGTGCATGGCCGTTCTTAGTTGGTGGAGCGATTTGTCTGGTTAATTCCGATAACGAACGAGACTCTGGCATGCTAACTAGTTATGCGACCCCCGAGCGAAATTTTGTTACCTAAGGAAGACTCTGTTGCCTAAGAAGTACTCCTTAAGACTGTGTTGCCAAAAGAAGAATTCTTTTGAGGATAAAGACAGAGACTGTTGAATTCCTTCACTGAAATCCGACTCCAGGAAAGGATGGACTTTATTATCTTTAGTCTACTGTTCATTTCTCTATGTTGACAAGATAATCTACATTTACTTATAATGTGCTGATAACATTACTGTTAAATGCTATAAAGTCTAGACAATTTACTCCATTAGAGAACATATAATCCTGATTTATATTACTTTCTTGAGAGTCTTATAAAATACACATACATACATTCTTGTTTCTATTTGGAATGTTGTTAACATCGTTTAGGGCTTTATAGGCTAACGCCAGCACTTTGAATTGTGCCTGGTAGCAAACTGGCAGCCAGTGGAGCTGGCGCAACAGAGGTTGTATGCTCCCTGAGTGCCACTCCTGTTAATAACCTGGCTTCCGAGCGTGGGACCATTTGAAGCTTCCGGGAAGTCTTCAAAGGCAACCTCACATAGAGAGCATTGCAGTAGTCTATACGGGATGTAACCAGAGTGTGGACCACTGTGGCCAGATCAGATCAGATCAGAAATAGAGCCCAAGACAGTATTAAGAGAAAGGGAAAGTGGAAGACAGGTTGAGTCCGGCAAAGGTAGAACGCATTTCTATCTACGAACCCACACGACCTCTTCAATCTTCTGAAGAGGCTCTTCTCTCGCTCCCGCCTGCATCGCAAGTGCGACTTGTGGGGACGAGAGATAGAGCCTTCTCTGTGGTGGCTCCCCAGCTCTGGAACTCACTCCCCAGAGACATTAGGCAAGCCCCCACGCTGGCAATCCTCAGGAGATTTTCTTGGGTTAAAAAATAGTCTTATAAACCGGAATATACGGTATATGAGTCTCCACTCCCATATAATCTGGGATCAGATCCTGGGATATAAGAATAGTGTTGAAGGGGCCTCAGTTTCATTTGGGATATTAAAGAACTGCTTTTCAATTAGAATTATACTTTGAACTGTTTCGAGCACCCATGCCAATTTCAATGGAACCCTGTTGCACAGGATTTCCGAACTGTAATTTAATCCAAGTAACAAAGTGAACTAGAAATCAAAACCAGTCGACACAGAAAAATAAAATGCTTCTGATCAGGTATAAACTGGGATCAGATCTACAATGTCTTTCAACAATCAGCCACAAGTCCTTGCCCTAGATTGCATGCCTATTTTTTAGAAAAATTGAGAGGAATGTCTGTCCCCTGGTTTGGGATTATGGACAAGAATGTGCTTTTTGATGTTGGTTACTTCCTTATTATCAGAACTTTGAAGTAATACTTCACAAGGAACAATGTTATCTGGCGCACATTATTTTTGAGGGCAGTGAGGGAAGAATGGAGTTCCTTTTGCCAAGAAAAAAAAAACAAACACAGTTAAAACTGCTAAAATCAGTAAGCAACAATGTCCTCTTTTTTTTAACTGTTATTTTTCTCATACTTTGGAGAAATATTCCTGTGTCCAAATTGTAGGCATTTTAAAAAACTTTTTTAGATAGATTTATCACCACCCCCAGGCTCCACAATTGAGGGGCAAATTGAGTAAGCCTCCAGTAACCGCTGACTATTGTTGCCTGTTTTTATATTGTTTTTATGTTGTTTATATGGTTTTATACTATTTATACTGTTTTATATTCTTATTTATAAGTTAGGCGATCCCTCGTTTTCCGAGGATGATTTTCTTCCAGTATTCTTGTGGGTCCGTATGTGGTTGTGGAGCCCTATTCTTGCTCTGCATCTTCTTCCGCAGTGAGGGCACTGGTTTCCAGGTGGAAGGCGGTCTTGGTCGAGGTTGGCTTGACGCACCTTCCTCCTGGCACGTTTCTCTCTTTCATCCTCCATTCATGCCTCCTCAAATTCTGCAGCACTGCTGGTCACAGCTGACCTCCAGCTGGAGCGCTCAAGGGCCAGGGCTTCCCAGTTCTCAGTGTCTATGCCAGAGTTTTTAAGGTTGGCTTTGAGCCCATCTTTAAATCTCTTTTCCTGCCCACCAACATTCCGTTTTCCGTTCTTGAGTTCGGAGTAGAGCAACTGCTTTGGGAGACGGTGGTCAGGCATCCGGACAACGTGGCCGGTCCAGCGGAGTTGGTGGCGGAGGACCATCGCTTCAATGCTGGTGGTCTTTGCTTCTTCCAGCACGCTGACGTTTGTCCGCTTGTCTTCCCAAGAGATTTGCAGGATTTTCCGGAGGCAGCGCTGATGGAATCGTTCCAGGAGTTGCATGTGATGTCTGTAGACTGTCCACATCTCGCAGGCGTATAGTAGGTTTGGGAGGACAATAGCTTTATAAACAAGCACCTTGGTATCCCTATGGATGTCTCGGTCCTCAAACACTCTCTGCTTTATTCGGAAAAATGCTGCACTCGCAGAGCTCAGGCGGTGTTGAATTTTGGTGTCGATGTTGACTTTGGTGGAGAGGTGGCTGCAATTTCAAAATGAAAATGGATGCCAATAAAATTACATTACATAGGTTAAATGTTTTTGAATATTTACTGTTTATACTGTTTTATATTGTTATTATTACATTGCTGTTAATTGTATATTTATGTTTTGATGTGGGCGCCATGGGGCGCCACTTCGTTAGCCGTCCTGAGTCCCTCTGCGGAGGTTGAGAAAGGACGGGATATAAAAGCGCCAAATAAATAAATAAATAACAATACTGGTTCCTCTTTAAAAGTAACTGACTTTACTGACTGGGAATCATTTCTCCTTTGTGTCCAAAGAGAGTTTTGTGTGTCTCAGGGTACTTCTACACAGCCCTAAAACCCACAGCGAAGCAGGTTAAAATAACTCTCTTTGGTTCTTGTTATTTATTTATTTATTTATTTATTTATCTATCGTGTCATCCGCAACCGGAACATTGTATTACATTTCTAACAGAACAAAACAAACAAACAGATTAAAAAAAACCCACAAATTTTGCAAACTTGGTAGCTGATTAAATGTCCTTTGACCAGTATCTGGCCACTTGGAGTGCCTCTGGTGTTGCCGCAAGAAGGTCCTCCATTGTGCATGTGGCAGGGCTCAGGTTGCATTGCAGCAGGTGGTCAGTGGTTTGCTCTTCTCCACACTCGCATGTCGTGGATTCAACTTTGTAGCCCCATTTCTTAAGATTGGCTCTGCATCTCGTGGTGCCAGAGCACAGTCTGTTCAGCGCCTTCCAAGTCGCCCAGTCTTCTGTGTGCCCAGGGGGGAGTCTCTCATCTGGTATCACCCACGGATTGAGGTGCTGGGTTTGAGCCTGCCACTTTTGGACTCCCGCTTGCTGAGGTGTTCCAGCGAGTGTCTCTGTAGATCTTAGAAAACTATTCCTTGATTTAAGTCATTGGCATGCTGGCTGATACCCAAACGGGATGAGCTGGAGATGTCTCTGCCTTGGTCCTTTCACTATTGGCTGCTCCTTCCCGGCGGATGTCAGGTGGTGCAATACCGGCTAAGCAGTGTAATGTCTCCAGTGGTGTAGGGCACAGACACCCTGTGATAATGCGGCATGTCTCATTCAGAGCCACATCCACTGTTTTAGTGTGGTGAGATGTGTTCCACACTGGGCATGCATACTCAGCAGCAGAGTAGCATAGCGCAAGGGCAGATGTCTTCACTGTGTCTGGTTGTGATCCCCAGGTTGTGCCAGTCAGCTTTCATATGATATTGTTTTTAGCACCCACTTTTTGCTTGATGTTCAGGCAGTGCTTCTTGTAGGTAAGAGCACGGTCCAGAGTGACTCCCAGGTATTTGGGTGTGCTGCAATGCTCCAGAGGGATTCCTTCCCAGGTAATCCTCAGAGCTCGGGATGCTTGTCTGTTCTTAAGGTGAAAGGCACATGTCTGTGTTTTAGATGGATTAGGGATCAGCGGGTTTTCCCTGTAATAGGCAGTTAGAGCACCTAGAGCTTCGGAGAACTTCTGTTCAACCATTTCAAAGCTCCATCTCAAAGTTCTTGTTTAAACCAACCCACCCAAACCCTGGGCTTTCTGGGAAAGGGTGGCTACATGCCATCCTGATATAAATATTTTTAAGTGCTGAATGTGAAACTATTAAGTGCTTCATTTACACTGGAATTGGACACATGTTTAACTGTAATCCAGATTTTCAATACTAAAATTGTCAAAATAAAAAGTTACACAAATTCCAGTTTGATTAGAGGCGGGGAGCGGGGATATTGGTGAGCAGCATATCTATATAAATAAAAATGTAATGTTTGTTTGTGGAATTAACCTAACTCAAAAACCACTGGACGAATTGACATCAAATTTGGCCACAGTACACCAACTAAACCAATGTATGTCCTTCACTCAAAAAGACTAAAAAAAATAACTGGAAAGCACTTAAAATTTCCCCAAAACCAAAAATACGTAACAGCCCATGTGCGAATGTCCCCCCCCCCCCCCCCCCACGCAAAAGAAAAACAATGCACCAACTATCCATTGCAAACTGGCAATCCCTGCTGGCACTGAATGAGCCTTAGCCATGGGTCCAGGCTGCGGCTCAGACACACATTGTAGAACAGATGCAGTTTGGCCCCACTTTTAACACAATGTGTTGGGGTCCTGGGAGCTGTACTTTCTTGTGGCCTTGCTGAAGCTATCTCTGCCGAGGAGGACTGGTGCCCCGCCAAACTACGGATCCCAGGATCCCAATCATTGATATATATTTTCTGTTCGTCGTGGGAGTTCTGTGTGCCATATTTGGTTCCCTCCCTTCCATTGGTGGAGTTCAGAATGCTCTTTGATTGTAGGTGAACTATACATCCTAGTAACTACAACTCGCATATGTCAAGGTCTATTTTCCCCCAATAGCGCCTCAAGAGCGCCCCTGGGCAAAATCAACTGTACTGCGAATGGTTACTTTGCGTAATGGGTTGAGCCGCCCCTGCCCCTCTGAAACCCCCTTGTGACCCCCCCAGGGGTCCCAACCTCCAGGTTGAGAAACACCGCCTCAAAGCAAAAAAGAGGCAGTAGGGCATCACATCGACCCAAACTTGCAAGCTCCTAGAAGAGTCATGATTTGGAGACAATATATCAAAATAACTGATTTTGATTATTTAAAAAATTGGACCAGGATTATTCATCTGTTTGTGGCCTTTCTCTGCTCCACAGGAGATGGGCCAATATTCGGTGGAGCTGTTCCGAGGACCCAATGGCTTTGGCTTCAGCCTGAGAGGTGGAAGTGAATATAACATGGATATCTATGTCTTAGCTCTCATGGAGGGTGGACCAGCCCAGCAGTGTGGCAAGATCCAAGTATGTGGTCGTCTCGGGGAAGAGCTTGGGAGCACCCAATGAGGGGATATGACCGGGAGGAGTCATAGGCTCTATCTACACTGCCATATCGTGCAATTTCATAATGCGGTTAAATAGGATTGTATTGTTGAAGGCTTTTATGGCTAGAATCACTGGGTTGTTGTAGATTTTTCAGGCTGTATGGTCCTGTTCTAGAAGCATTCTCTCCTGACGTTTCACCTGCATCTATGGCAGGCATCCTCAGAGCATGCCTGCCATAGATGCAGGCGAAATGTCAGGAGAGAATGCTTCTAGGACATGGCCATACAGCCCGAAAAATCTTTAATGGCATTAATGAGCCTAATTCTATATTAATCACTTGAATGCAGTTAAAACATATTGTAAAACTACATTATATGGCAGTGTAGATGGGGGCCATAGATGTGCTGTCATTGAATGAGAGGAGACTTGAATGTTCCGAGCAAAAAACAGCAGGAATATATTCAGATCTCGTCAACAGAGGGGCTGCAAAAGACAGTTTTCTTTATTTCCTTTATTTACTTTCCCTTGAAACCTTCTGCTTCTGAGCTGTAGGAGTGGAGAACATGTGGACCTCCAGATAGCATTGGCCAATGCAAAGGAGCATGGGAGTTGCAGTCCAATGGCTTTTGGATGACTGCACACTCTCCCCATCCCTATGTTAGAGGACTCATGTCTGGTTGTCCAAAGCTAAACACATTACTATCATATAGCATTTGATGAGAAAGAGATTATAGTTTGGGTAGGGGTTTTTTAGGTTGTTGTTTTTTAACCTGTGCTTCCAGAAGCTTACGCAGGCATTTTCCTTTTTTAATTCATGATTTGTTCACTTTCCCCCAGTTTTATTTGCCTCCATTTTCTCTCTTTCTCAAAGTAGTAGTGGGAAAATTATGACGAAATTTAATATTGTATACGAAATTTAATATTGTATATGTGAACACACAATGATATCGAGCTAGAATTTGGAGGCTCCTGCCCAGGAGAGAGGAGCCCTTAGACCCACCAAAGAGAGTCTGAAACCCTTGGCAAGTGAAAGAGGAGAAAGGCCCAGAATTTTCCCTGATTTTTCCCAAATAAATCTCACCAAGGTTGAAAAAAAGCCATCGAGGTTTATTTAGCGATTCAGCTGAAAAGGATGCAGAGCTGCAATCATTCGCCAGCAGAGCATGAGGAGAATACACCAATACAGTCATATTTATAGCAAATTCAAAGTTGTAGAGTTCAAACTTCCCGCCCCAGCTTCCCTGACATTCCCTGCCGTGATTGGGTGATGGGCGAACAGCTGGGAGGCGGCCCTCCCGCCCCCTGGGCTTCAGGACCAATCAGGAAGCTTCAGCGGTGCGTTGGATCCAATGGGAAGGCTCCTGCCGCCTAGCGGCAACAGCAAATCAGGGGAGAGGGAGGCGGGACGATAGAACACAAAGGAATCTGTGAATGAGTTTTGAAAAAATAATGCCATGTGGCTCGCGAGACAAAAAAGGAAGTCTCAAGCAGGGCTGATCTATTGTGTTTTGATTGGAATGAATCAACATGTGTAAAGGAAAATCCGGCCAGCAAACATGAGGACAATGAGGGCGAAACTGGGGTGAGTGTTCCTTAGTGGGAAGTTAGGTAAATCAACCAGTGTGAAGGTGGGGGCTTTTCAAAGGTCCCCTGACCTCCAGGTAGAAAAATGATTAAAGTTTTGCCAGGGGGCGGCAACTTTGTTGGGCGATCCTCCGAGAACAAAGGGCAGCCGCCAGGATATTGTTCATGCAAAGGAAATTCTGGATTAAAGTTCTTTAGTGAATGCCTGGGCTCTGCAGTTTCCTGGGGAGATTTCTTCATGAGGAGAAGGGGGAAAAGGTCAAATGGGGGGTGGGGGGAAGCCTCTGCCACGAGGAAATCATGAAATACATAATATGTGTCCATAGTTCATAAGGGTAGAAATTCATAAGGGTTTGTCCTTGTAGAGGAAGGGAAATGTTTGTGGGGAATGATAAAAGTATAAAATTCATAAGAGAAAGTCTCAGAGGTTCCACTGAGCCAGCTAAGGGAGACCCACCACATTGAGATCAGCTCTGGTCCTTTGTCCTTGGAAAACTGTAACTTTTTCCAAGAGCTGGAGCCCAGGAACCAATCTGTTCCCTGAAAGCCTCCTGGGGTCCTTGCTGTTGTTAGTGTCTTGGCAAATTGACCAAGGCTTAACCCCTATTGTGTAGTCTGGTGCCCTTGCCATTTGCAGAACTATAAGTTACTACCTCTTATTGGGGTGGGGAGGCATGCTTGGCTTCAACAGCATAATGTTCCACAGTTCTCTAAAAACAAAACAAAGTTGAGAAATCTTGTTTTTTGTTTGTTTGTTTGTTTTTTGGAGTTTTGGGTTTTTTGGGTTTTGTTTTTGTTTGTTTGTTTGTTTGTTTTTTGGAGTTTTGGGTTTTTTGGGGTTTTGTTTTTGTTTGTTTGTTTGTTTGTCTTTTGCTATGAACCCGGAGTTTTCTTCTTTAGCCAATGACAGAAGTTGTTCCTTTTCAAAAAGTTGTCTCTTTGTCTTCGGCTTTCTGGAAGGTCACGGGTTCCTGAGGTTTACAGGGTTGTTTTGGATACAAACAAAGGTAGTTCTGTTCGTCCCTAAGAACAGAACAAAACCAAAATCCACAGGCAGGCAATACCTTTATTAGGTAAAATTCCTCAAACCTGAGCAAGCAATCAAGTTCCCCAGGACGCTTCCTGAGGCTAGACGGCATAAAAAAGTCAGGGGTGGGGGGTTGGGTCCGTGTTTTCGTGGCCAAAATGAAGATTACATACTGAATGAGTTATTGGTCAGTCATGCATACAGAGGCAAGGAAGAAATTATGGAACTTTATTTTTGAAAACACAAGACTAACTGCAGCCTAGATATTTGTCCATTGTTTGGGGCAAAACACTTAAGCTCCTAAAATGGCACAGAAGAGAAGCACGGGAAACCATACAATCCTTACATAAGTAAAGATAGGTATTACATTGTAGGGGTTACATTATATAAAAAAGTAAATTGAGTCCAAACTGTAAAAATGGCTTTTTATATGCATTTTTCTTTTTAAATTATATAATAATAATAATAATAATAATAATAATAATAATAATAATAATAATAATGGCATTTCTCCTGATGTTTCACCTGCGTCAGGAGAAATGCCTCTAGAACATGGCCCTATAGCCCGAAAAAACCTACAAGAACCTAGTGATTCCAGCCATGAAAGCCTTTGAAAATACAATAATAATAAACTGTTCAGCAGTGGAACTCTCTGCACCAGTGTGGTGGAGGCTCCTTCTTTGGAAGCTTTTAAGTCAAAGCAGATACCAGACAACAAACAACCTTATCAAAGATGACATTAAGAATACTAATAAAACTAATATACGTAAGTAAAAACACAACAGAAGAGACTTCCCAAATGTTTAGAACTATGTATTGTCGAAGGCTTTCATGGCCGGAATCACTGGGTTGTTGTAGGTTTTTCGGACTATATGGCCATGTTCTAGAGGCATTCTCTCCTGACGTTTCGCCTGCATCTATGGCAAGCATCCTCAGAGGTATTGAGGTCTGTTGGAACTAGGAAAAAGGGTTTATATATCTGTGGAATGACCAGGGTGAGACAAAGGACTCTTGTCTGCTGGAGCTAGGTGTGAATGTTTCAACTGACCACCTTGATTAGCATACAATGGGCCGACTGTGCCTGGAGCAAACTTTTGTTGAGAGGTAATTAGATGTCCCTGCTTGCTTTCCTCTCTGTTGTTGTGCTGTTGCAATTTTAGAGTTTTTTAATACTGGTAGCCAGTTGTTTTGTTCTCTGTTCTTTCTACTTTCCATTCCACAGATATATAAACCCTTGTCCCTAGTTCCAACAGACCTCACTACCTCTGAGGATGCTTGCCATAGATGCAGGCGAAACGTCAGGAGAGAATGCCTCTAGAACATGGCCATATAGCCCGAAAAAACCTACAACAACCCAAGTTATTCCGACCATGAAAGCCTTCGACAATACATAGTACATTTTCTGTTTGGAAAGCACCACCAATCCTGTTTCAAATTGTTACAGGACCAAGCTAAGATCTTCAACCATGTTGGTTCATTTGAAAGAAAGTAATCGTTCAAATTATCTGAAAGTAATATTTCAAATTGCCTGGTCCCAAATCATGTACAACAAATGCAGTCTGTGAGTGAGAAATTGTCTAGTTCAAATGTTTATTTATGTATTTATTTATTTACAGTATTTATATTCCGCCCTTCTCACCACGCAGGGGACTCAATGTACACATACATGGCAAACATTCAATGCCATAGACACACAACACATATTGACAGACAGTCAGAGGCTATTTAACTTTTTGGCCACCAGGGGAGCTGTTGCTTTCATCGTCCATCTGCGACGCTGATGAAGCACTTCCGCATTCCCCGCATGCTTTGCTGGAGTCTTTTTTATGGCCTCGTAAATTAGTTATGTTTATGTTTTTAATTTGCTGCATTGCTATTGTTTGTTGTTATTGTGTTGAGGCTTTGGCCTTTGTAAGCCGCATCGAGTCCTTCGGGAGATGCTAGCGGGGTACAAATAAAGTTTAATAATAATAATAAATAGTTAAATCAGCCTCCCCACATATAGGTAGTACCTAATTTTCCCATGGAGCCCCCGGTGGCGCAGTGGGTTAAAGCACTGAGCTGCTGAGCTTGTTGATCGAAAGGTCGCAGGTTCGATTCCGGGGAGCGGCGTGAGCTTCCGCTGTCAGCCCTAGCTTCTGCCAACCTAGTAGTTCGAAAACATGCAAATGTGAGTAGATCAATAGGTACCGCTCCGGCGGGAAGGTAACGGCGCTCCATGCAGTCATGCCGGCCACATGACCTTGGAGGTGTCTACGGACAACGCTGACGCTTCGGCTTAGAAATGGAGAGCACCACACCCCAGAGTCAGACATGACTGGACTTAATGTCAGGGGACTACCTTTACCTAATTTTCCTACTTGACAGATGCAACTGTCGTTCGGGTTGCAAAGGTCGACAACAAGCTACACAATTGGTTGGAAGCTCACTCGGACCCGGGCTGGCTTCGAACTCATGACCTTTGGGTCAGAAGTGATCTTAATGCAGCTGACACTCAGCCGGCTGCGCCACAGTCCCGGTGCTATTATGTTATTAAATGTTATTATTGTCCCCACACAGTTAGCCTGACAAATAGGCATATTGAACCTACTAAGCATGAAGTGCTTTGAACACTCTGGAACAGGGGACCTTAAACTTTTTAAACAAGGGGCCAGTTCACTGACCCTCAGGCCATTGGAGGGCCATACTATAGTTTTTTAAAATATGAACATCTTATTTTGAAGCAAAAAAAATTTGGGAACAAATACAATATTTAAAATGAAGAACAAATAAAGTTAAATCAACAAACCTACCAGTATTTCAATGGGAAGTATGGGCCTGCTTTTGACTTACTTACTTAGGCGATCCCTTGTAGTCTGAGGATGATGTTCCTCCAAGAGTGGTATCCTGGCGGTGGGTCCGTAGGTGACCATGGAGCCCTATTCTTGATCTGCATCTTCTCCCGCAGTGAGGGCATCGGTTTCCAGGTGGAAGGCAGTCCCAGTCGGGGTTGCATGCTTTTGACTATGAGATTGTCAATACCTGGTTCCATATTTGTCATAACAAGTGATTCAAGTGTGCATCAGTTAGTCTAGATCTGGTTAGAGATTTCAGATGTTTCATTCTGAAAAAAGTCTGTTCACAGACGTAAGTGCTGCCAAAGATGGTTGCCATTTTGAGTGCATGGTTCCTGAGATTAGGATGTGTCTCGGAGGGGAGAGAGACATCAAAATTGGGAAGTCTGCTTGACTTGAATGTGTCTTTCAATGAGTCACAATTCTGCAGTTCAGCCAGTTCCATTTGGTAAACTGTATCCACATTTTCAATGTCAATAGAAAATGAGTTACGGAAAAGCTGTACATCCTGTTCATGGAGATGAAGCTCTTTGAATCTAAATTGGAATTCCTTTTGCAACTTTTCCAGTAAATCCACACATGTTTTGTTTAGGAATGCAACCAATGGTTTTTCCGCTAAAAGAGTTGTGGGAAGATGGCAGAAATTTTCCTCCTTTCCTTGTTTGATGAGGCCCAGCACATCTTGGGGAGGTGGGGGACTAACCCTTCTCCACACCCGGTGGGCTGGATAAATGTCCTTGGTGGGCCGCATGTGGCCCGTGGGCCATAGTTTGAGGACCTCTGATCTAGAAGTACCGTACACTACATAAGGGTTCCTCAAACTACGACCTGGGAGCCAATCACGGCCCTCCAAGGTCCTTTACCTGGCCCTCGCTCAGGGTCAACCTAAGTCTGAAAAGACTTAAAAGCACACAACAACAACAGCAACAACAACAACAACAATCCTATCTCATCAGCCAAAAGCAGGCCTATACTTCCCAATGAAATACGAATAAGTTTATATTTGTTAAAATGGAGCCCCCGGTGGCGCAGTGGGTTAAACTCCTGTGCCGGCAGGACTGAAGACCGACAGGTCGCAGGTTCGAATCCGGGGAGAGCGTGGATGAGCTCCCTCTATCAGCTCCAGCTCCTCATGTGGGGACATGAGAGAAACCTCCCACAAGGGTGATAAAACATCAAAACATCCAGGCGTCCCTTGCAGATGGCAACGTCCTTGCAGACGGCCAATTCTTTCATGCCAGAAGCGACTTGCACTTTCTCAAGTCACTCCTGACACGACAAAAAAAAAATGTTACAATTGTTCTTCATTTTAATTATTGTATTGTTCTAAAGTGTTTTTTGCACTACAAATAAAATACGTACGCTGTGCATAGGAATTCATTCATATATCTTTTTTTGAAATTATAATCCGGCCCTCCAACAGTTTGAGGGACTGTGACCTGGCCCTCTGTTTAAAAGGTTTGTGGACCCCTGCACTACATGAATGTTAAATTAAAATTCCATGGAAGGCAGAACCTTTCTTACTAGGGATGCACGAATTAAAAATTCAGACAAAATTCTTTTTTTGATAACAACGGCAGCAAGGATTTGCTATGCCAGAAGATGGAAACAAAAGAAAATACCGGACGAAAATGAGAGACTGACAAAAATTTTGGAAATTAAGAATATGGATAGACTTACTTTCTTAATATCAAGAAGTAAAGGAATGAACATGAAAGAAACGAATTGGGAAAAAGTGATGGATTATTTTAGACATAGGAATAAAAAGATTCTGATCTAATTAAGGAAGAGAAAGAGGGAAGGAAGAGAAGGAGAAAAAAGTTGAGGAGAGAAGAGAAAGAAAAGGAAGTGGAGAAAGAAGGCAGAGCAGACCTCTAGAAGATTCCAGGAAGTCGAAAACAACTATTACTCTCACTTTTAATTAGGCTTTGGGCTTTAAATCTACTCCCACTCATTTTTTCATTTTTTTTTCTTTCTCCTTTCTTTCCTCTCTTGTCCCTCTTTGCCCTCTCATCCCCTCTTTCTCTCTTTTTCACGCAACACATTTCTTTTCGGGATTTTCTCAGCTATCACACTTCACACTTTTTAGCAGCTTTGGCTACATATCTCTATTTTAAATGTAAATCAGAAATTTAATAAAGATTATATACTAAAAAAAGGAAGAAAGAGAAATAGCTCCACAGCTACCCAGAAAAAAATTCGGGGAGGGTTGAAAATTTGGGGGGGGTTGAAAATTTTGGGGGGGGAGTTGAAACCTGCCTCTTAGCTCACGCTGAAGCAAAGAGCACAGCAGGGGCAGAGCAGCCTTCAATAGCCTGCAGCTCCACCCCTGTCAACCACCTCCACCAAGTCTGGCCTCCTTAATGAGAGCATTCAACACACACCCCCCCAACTTGGTTGCTTCGCTACATCGGCTATTGCTGCAAGTAATGACAGTGTGAATAAATTGTCAATATTTGCTTGAGATAGTGCTTACAGTTCTGAAGGGACTCTTAATTTTTTGCATCTCATAGACTTAGCATGGGGATTTGGTTAACCAGTTAAAATTCATGAGTAAACCAGTTTTTAAAAAATCTGAAACATTTCGGGGGGGGGGTTGAACCCCTAAAACCACCCCCTCGCTACAGGCCTGGTGATGTGTCCTTGAATAGACATCAAGTTGTAAGTAGATTCCATGTTCACAATAGTCCCTTTTATGCTTACTGCATGGCAGGTGAGTGACCAGTTAGTAGAGATCAATGGGGAGTCTACATCCGGAATGACACATGCGCAAGCTGTGGAGCACATCCGCAATGGAGGGAGCCGGATACACCTGGTGCTGAAGAGAGGCAACGGATTTGTTCCCGACTATGGTAGGTCTGTGCCTCCTCTCCTTTCTCAGCCCTTTCCCTCTTACCCTCCAGAGTAAAAGTAGGAGAAAGACTCAAACTGACCCTGCTGTTTATATCCAACCATTACACCAGCCGTTGCAGTTTAGATGTGAGATCTTTGGTCCCTTCACACTTTGGTTTTCACTTCTGAGTTGCATTTGAGCAACTGTTTCCCCCAGGTAATTGTTTTCTTCTGAAAGGAGGGAAGACAGCCCCCATTTGCAAGACAGATGAGATGAGCCATGGTGGTAGACCTTGTAACAAACGTCTCCTACAAACGGGTACTCTATTGCCTCTTCCCCTCAGAGAGTCTCTGCCGAAGCAGAGTCTCAGTCTTCAATATTCATCCCTCTCTCCTCTTCTCTTTTTCTTTCCTTCCCTGTTGTCCTTCGTCTGTCTGACCCTTCATATGCTACTCCAACCCGTCTATGGTGCTGTCTGATTTCCCATCCACCCCACTCCCTCCAATCTGTGCCAATTTTGTCTTAACCTCTCTGGTCCGCTTTCCCTTTCTGGTCTGTGATGGCTTCATCCCCCATCCCCATCCCTGTTCTGTGCCGGCCTTGTAACTCCCCCTTCCTCTCCTCTCCCCCAAGTCTCCATCTGTCTCCGCCCCACAGGGCAGCCGCTGGCCAGCCTGGCTCTCTGCGTGACCAACTCCCCCCGGGGGGAGCCCTGCTTCTGCCTCGTGGGACGGGTCGAACATAAATGGTGGGTGCCCAGTCCCCTCTCCCATGGAGACCAACAACACTGCTCTGCCCAGTTCCCTTCTCTCCCTTAGTCCAGTTCTGCCACAGGTGGTAGGGGAGGCCTCATTCCTTAGGGGGAGATGATCCTGCTGGAGCCACCCCATTCTCCCTCTTTCCCCTCACCCCAACATTGAGTTCCTTTCCATAGTCCCCCTGCTCCCTTTCCTCACCATCTCCCCAATGAGCCTTTCCACATAGCCAAGGGTGTGCAATTCTATGTAATAATAATAATAATAATAATAATCTATATAAATAAAAAGGAGCCCCCGGTGGGGCAGTGGGTTAAAGCACTGAGCTGCTGAGCTTGTTGATCGAAAGGTCGCAGGTTCGATTCCGGGGAGCGGTGTGAGCTTCCGCTGTCAGCCCTAGCTTCTGCCAACCTAGCAGTTCGAAAACATGCAAATGTGAGTAGATCAATAGGTACCGCTCCGGCGGGAAGGTAACGGTGCTCCATGCAGTCATGCTGGCCACATGACCTTGGAGGTGTCTACAGGACAACGCTGGCTCTTCGGCTTAGAAATGGAGATGAGCACCAACTACCAGGACGTTAATCATGGACACTATTTACCTATATAATAAACAATGTCATTGCAGTGGTTCTCAACCTGGGGTCCCCAGATGTTTTGGCCTTCAACTCCCAGAAATCCTAACAGCTGGTAAACTGGCTGGGATTTCTGGGAGATGTAGGCCAAAAACATCTGGGGACCCCAGGTTGAGAACCACTGGTTTGTGGGATTAACATAACTCAAAAACCACTGGACGGATTGACACTAAATTTGACCACAAGACACCTATTAACCCAAGGAGTGATCATCACTCATAAAAACTGATATTTTTGTCATTTGGGAGTTGCAGTTCTGGGATTTGTAATTAACCTACAGTCAAAGAGCATTCTAAACACCAATGAAGGAACGGAACCAAATGTGGCACGCAGGACTCCACGGCCAACAGAAAACACTAGAAGGGTTTGGTGGGCATTGACCTTGAGTTTAGAAGTTGTAGTTCACCTCCATCCAGAGAGCACTGTGGACTCAAATAATGATGGATCTGAACCAAACTTGGCACGGATACTCCATATGCCCAAATATGAACACAGATGGAGTTTGGGGAAAATAGACCTTGACATTTGATTTATAGTTCACCTATAATCAAAGAGCATTCTAAACTCCACCAATGGTGGAATTCAACCAAACATGGCATACAGGACTTTCATGACCAACAAAACACACTAGAAGGGTTTTGTGGGCATTGATCTTGAGTTTAGAAGTTGTAGTTCACCTCCATCCAGAGAGCACTGTGGACTCAAACAATGGTGGATCTGGACCAAACTTGGCACGAATATTCCATATGCCCAAATATGAACACAGATGGAGTTTAAGGGAAATAGACATTGACATTTGGGAGTTTTCATTGCTGGGATTTATAGTTCACCTACAATCAAAGAGCATTCTGAACTCCACCAATGGTGGAATTCAACCAAACATGGCATACAGGACTTCCATGACCAACAGAACACACTAGAAGGGTTTGGTGGGCATTGACCTTGAGTTTAGAAGTTGTCGTTCACCTCCATCCAGAGAGCACTGTGGACTCAAATAATGATGGATCTGAACCAAACTTGGCATGGATACTCCATATGCCCAAATATGAACACAGATGGAATTTGGGAGAAATAGACCTTGACATTTGGGAGTTGTAGTTACCTACAATCAAAGAGCATTCTGAACCACACAACGACAGAATTGGGGGAACTTCCCACACAGAACCCCCATGACCAACAGAAAATACTTAAGGCCATCGACTCCAACTCCCTTCACCAGGGCAAGAAAATGTAATCAAAGCCCTCCTGACAAAGAGCCATCCAGCCATAGAGATAGATAGATATATATGAATCACACACACATATAGTATCATAAATTTTAAAGGGACCGCTGAAAAACAATGATATGTTGCATGTTCCAGAGTAGGCAAACCAGACAATCTCCACATCAACACTTACAAAGAAACAGCAAGAAATGCTGTTTACTCACAAGCATATAGAAATCACATATATTAGAAACCACACTTTCTCATTACTTTATTTTCCAGATCACCAGACTGGGCCACAGCAACGCGTAGCAGGGGATGGCTAGTAAAAATAATAATAATCTTTATGTAATACCCTGCCACCATCTCCCCAATGGGGACTCGGGGCGGCTTACATGAGGCCAAGCCCAACAGCATATTACAATAAAGTAAAACCAAAACACAATAGCAACACAATAAAATACATACAAATATGAGTACAAAAAAAACCTGAAGCAAAATCATACACAGTAAAATAACAATGAGCGGGCCGCATGTTCGAGATAAAAAACTAAAATACTAAAGATACTAAAATCAGGATGAGACAGGGATGGAGCAGATTGTTTGTGAGGGAGAAACCCATAAAGGAACGGGGTCATAAAAATAGACCTTCATACAAGTGGGGACATATACACTGGGGATTAAAAAAAAAAACGTTGAGGGGGAACAACTATGTATGATAGTATGGCTACTCTCCAAAAGCGCATCGGAAAAGCCAGGATTTGGAATTAGCTGCCAAGACTAGACTTTTTTGGGTCTATTTGGTCGCCCTTCCTCATGCTACTTAATC